AAATCTAGATGCTTCCACCGGGATGGAACCATCTGATGTCATGCTCCCCTACGCCTCGCGCCGGACTCGCTTCGTGCCATGCACCCCCACGCCTCACGCTGGACCCACCTCGTGCCGCGTACCCCACCCGTGCCTCACACCGCGTGTTGTCCACGCCTCGTGCCTTAAGCTGCGCACGCCTCACGTTGCGCCCCACATGCCCGCGTCAACCTTCATTGGGCAGCAATAAGTAGATGAGCACATGTTGTAACCGTATGTTTCATGTGTTTCAGATGTATGTTACATATGTTTCATCTAGATATTGCAAAAGTAGATATGGTGTTGCATATGTTACAATGGCTATGCACGTGTGTTGCAAGTGTATCTTTAAAATGTTTCAGCTGTTTCAAACGTATGTTGCAAGTGTTTCATCTGGATGTTCCATATGTTGAAGTGGCTATACACGTATGTTGCAAGTGTGTTTTCCAAATGTTTCAGCTGTTTCATCTGAATGTTGCATGTTTTCATCTGGATGTTGCATATGTTGCAGCGGCTATACACGTATGTTGTAAGTGTATGTTCCAAATGTTTCACCTATTTTAGACCTATGTTGCAAGTGTTTTATCTGGATGTTGTTATATGTTGCAGTGGTTATACACATATGTTTCAAATGTATGTTTTAATTGTTTCACCTAGTTTTACTATGTTGCAGCAGGTGGTGCTCCCCACGCGCTCTGACTCGCGGGCACACATGCGCCACACACTCATCTAGCGTTGCCTATCTCTGTCATGCGGGTCTGCTCCAATAGTTGGACACGCAATGGGCGATTAGTGTCCAAATGGCCAAGCACTCCCTGGTCAAAGTACATTCGTGCATGCATAGCGCGGCCAACACCCAATGGACATAGAACCAGGCGCCCCTGCACCACCAGGCTTGGTCCCCCCATGGTGGAGCATGTAGCTGGGGTCAACACGGGGTACGCGCGCTGTGCTCCTAGCCTCTTTCTCACATGCAGTTGGACGGCCCCACGCACATGCTCTCCCGTGCAGGCGCAGCAGCAGCACGTGCAAAACCAGCAGCAACCACAAGCGCGAGGCGCGAAGCACACGGGCAGGCGCAGCAAGATAGTAGGCGCAGCAGCACGTAGGTGCGCGGGAATTTGGACGCGCGTGGGTGGTCAGACGTCCGGACGTACGGGCGCTCACATGTCTTGCTAAGATTGGTCTTATACTCCTTTTGTAAAAGCCTAATAATGCCATATGCCCATACCTTCTTCGAGGAGGGAAAGGAACTTTTTTTGGTTTTTTAAAAGAAATATTTTTCCTCTTTGTACTCATTCCATCCAAGAGAATTCAAACAATTTTAACTTTAAATAAAATCTACACAAAAAGCACTGCTAAATCATGCATTATGATAAATTTTTTTATGTTTCGTTCTAAAAATGAAATGGTAGTGCAATGGCTACCACGAGAGAAAGAATGGGGAGGGGAGCCGCACCTGAGAAGGGACAGGAGGTAAACAACATCAAAGCTATTCATTAGATAAGAGAGGAGCCGTTGCCCTGCTGGTGAAGGGCCTAGTACAAAGACGGACAGGCTTTCGGAAGAGGAGCCTTGTCGAGCCGAGGGGCCTCGCTGGGGGATCTGAGCCGCGAGAGAGGTGTCGCAGGAGGTTACCGTGTGGAGGGAGGTCACAGGCTAGAAGGAGGAAATGGAGCTCGCGCTAGACAAAAAATACTGACCGTTAAATGAAGGTTGGGGTCAACGCCCATGGAAATGGGGGCGGAGGGGGTGGGATTTGAGGGCCTGCCAACTTTGGGGGTTTGAGTAGAGGCTTTTGTTGGAGCTATGATTTTTACTCATGCGCTCAAAATTTAGTAAGGCATGTTTGAGAGTCCTGTTAACATTCATCTTATACTCCTTTTGTAAAAGCCTAATAATGCCATATGCCCGTACCTTCTTCGAGGAGGGAAAGGAACTTCTTTTTTGTTTTTTTCAAAAGAAATCTTTTTCCTCTTTGTACTCATTTCATTCAAGAGAATTAAAACAATTTCAACTTTATTTAGATAAAATCTACAAAAAGCACTAATATTTATGATGCTGAATAATTACATTAGATTAATTATATGATATATTTTCATAATAGTTTAAGTTTGACTCAACTTAAATATAGAATTATTTCTTTTTAGGACCAAGAGAGTCGGTAATATATGATGCATTATTATTTTATTTATTTATTCCTAAAGGGGACACATTGAGGGATTGAACTTTTTTTTTCCTTCTTTTGAGGAGAGATTGAGGGATTTGAACTGAATGGATGGTTTCCTTCTGCTAACACCTTGCTTATGAAGCCCAAGAATGAAATGTCTGGCCCGACCAAGACAGTATTCTGAGCCCATAGTAGCTAACAATTGGCGGCCCACTAATCTTGCAAAGGAAGGAAATAGCAAACGGGCCAAAAACAAAGCCGGCAATGGCAGCAAAAGCACTTCCCCAAACGGATCGAGCGCCCATGGCTTGTCGCGGCATCTCCTCCACATGCGAAGAGCTTCTAGATACTTGTTTGAAGATGTGCTGTATGTGGATTGTGGAAGCATGCACAGTGCGAAGGATTTTCAACCTTTGTTCTCACATTCAAAAAACTTGCCTTGCTTGCCTCTACTCTGCAGACTGCCTGTCTGCTGGTGCCTGGAAGGCTGCCTCTGGCTCATGGGTCATGGCCATCGCTTAGCCGCTGCCTCCAGCCTCATGTGGAATTGCCTCGCACTCGTGACTTGCTTACTCGCACGGTTGGGAATTGCCAAGTCGGGGGCAACGCGTGAGGGCACCAAGGGCCTAGGCGGAAGGGGTGGAGAAGGCAAGTGTTACTATTATTACGTAGTTTTGACTTTAGGGACAAATGTTTTGGCCGTGCATGCTCTAGGTCTGGCATTGTTAAAATCGACAACGATAATGATAGGACGTGGGCGTCCATCCGTCCGGATGCCGCGCGCCCACTCCGCCTCGCTGTTGCCGCGCTTCCCCTCTTGCCGCTTGCTCCTCGGCCCTGCTTGTCGTGCGCCACACCCGCGCCTCTCGCTCCTCGCTCCGGCCACGCCCCTGCTCCCTCTAGTGCGCGCCTCTTACTGTTATCTCTCACTCTTTGTTTCTCTACCTTGCGTCCAGTGACGGATCTACGAAAAATTTTAGGAGTGCTTGACGAACATGTACTCTTTTAAGTCTACACACTACAGATATAGATACACATATTGGCGTATTGCTATCGTATGGGTAAGGATACACCGATACGGTATTTTTCCAAAAACCCAGTATAAACATATGCTTATGATTTATTTATAATTAAAATTCTAAAACCAGTACGGCAATATCAACCAAGAAGGAACATTGAAATTACCTTGTAATTGGAGTTTTGCTCTTCTCCAATTTTTCAAATAGCTAGTAGCCAAGGTAAGCTTCTCCATTCACCAATTCATCAAGCCCAACATGCACAACGCTCTCTTTAGCATTCTGAGTTTCTGCACAAATAACAAATCTCAAATTTCAATCTGCTATTTAGCCATTTATTAATCAATCAATCCAAAAGCACAATAGCACATAATTCATCGAATCACAGAAAAGAGAGAATAACTTCTATCAAATTTCAATCTTCAATCACTATTCACTAATGACATAATCTGTGCTCGCTGCTGTGGGTGGACTGGCGCCTGGCGGAGGCAGGGCACTGGCCGTCTGGTCGAGGCCGAGTGGCCGGTTGGTTGCCGTGGGCGCCTTGCGGGTGGACCGGCAGAGCCTCGGCCTAGGGCCCCAGGTCGCCGCCCCCTACGGCCCTGCGTCGCTGCTGCTTGCCGTGGCGGCCGGGGTCACCGGATCTTCGCTGCGGCGGGCCGGCGGCAGGGTGGCCGTGGTGAGTAGGAGCAGGGAGGCCGGGAGGGGACATAGACATAGGGTTGGCGGCTTGGCAGGATGCGGCGCTGGTTCGCGCGTGGCTCGGGCGTCGCGGTCCTCGGGAGATGCCGCACGCCCGCCCAGGAAGAAAGGAGGTGGGCTGTGGGCTGTGTGAAGCAAAAAAAAAGGTGGGACGACATCTAGGCCTTACTGGGCCAAAGGAAGAAAGGCCGGCGAGTGAAGAAAAAGCCTAGGTCACGACTCCCGTCGTCTTCAACCTCTAGATCGGGATCTCAGCCCCTCCAGTTCGGCGGGCGGGGGTGTCCGGTGGGGCTCCAAGGGTTTAGCGGTGGCAGGGCCCCCCTGCCCCACCGCTAGATCCATCCCTGCTTACGTTCGCCACGGTTGGAAGAGTAGACCTCCGAGATGCCACGCCACTACACTCCTCACGCCTCGCTGCGCCTCCGAGGTCTGGCCGCTCGCCACTGTTGCTGGCTGGCCGGGCCAACTAGCACTACTGGAAACTCGTATTTTTCTGTGTGTGCGAAAACACACAGAAAAATGCGAATACCGTCGGAAAAATATTTTTCTGACGCTGTACCCTCAGAAAAATACACACGGAAATATAATGACAGAAAAATTCAATTGTTCTGTGTGTTCACTGTCAGAAACAATTTTTCTGTCGGTCTTACACGCACAGAAAAATTGTGTTTGGCCAGATTAAAAATAAAATTTCTGTGAGGATATCTACACAGAAAAAAGAAATAAACACACAGAAAATACGTGTATTTTTCTATCGGTCTAGGTGAACTTACAAAAAAATTCCTTTCGGCCAGATTAAAAGTAATTTTCTGTGTAGCCATCCTCCCAGAAAAACGAGTTAAACGCATAGAAAAATAATTTATCTTGAAACTATAGCAACAACATATTAAAATATATATTGTCCATACAGTAATTTCATGACACATCACAACATAATAAATACATTCATAGGTGTCTAAATGTTCAGCACATTTATAGGTACATAGAGGATGTCCAAATGTTCCGGCACCAATACATTCATAACCCTCAGACTAACCAAGATTTAGCTCTTGCTAGTTCTTCATGCGCTTGTCCCTGATACTATTCAACTTTTGCTAATTCTTCATGCGCTTGTCCCTGGGAGTGACCATGGCAGTTGAGTCTGTCACATCCTGCAGATCAAGCATTGACTGAGATCTCATGAGAGCTGAGAACTGCTGGGGTGGACGAGGTGCAGGCGGAGAAGAAAAAACACCCATGGCATTGTTGGGCCTTCTGTGTGGGCGACGGGAAGACTTGCATACCCCTTTCCTGACACATTAAGAATAATGATCAACAAAATGGAAGACTAATATGGTTTTGAAAGATAATTTCTCATAACCAAGATAAAGCTAGTATAACAATTTAAGGACTGAACAGAGAGATTCCCCAGCTGCTCACAATGAATAAACAGACAAATTAAGTTGCCAACCCCAGAACAAAGACAAGTAACTACATATTTTTAGTGCTGTAGATAACAAACTAAGCTAGTAGCTAACAAATTCATGTGGACTAAGAACACCCTGTCTGTTTGATCCTGTGCTTGGGTTATTCCATGTTGTCCCGATAACAAATTAAACTAGTAGCTACCAACACTTTCTAAGACTTAAGATCTCGCAAGGTTCTTTCTAAGCTGAAGCTAAGTGAAGACTAGAACATACCTCCTCAATACTGTTTGGTATATTTTCCTGACAATGAGATCCAAAAATTGCAGGCCTCTCATCGGTTATCACAACCATTTCATTGTGACTGTTAGTGGCCTTTCCTCCAAGGCCTGTCATTTCATCAACTTTTACTGGGACTTTCACCGCTTCAGCCAAATTCTTCTGCCGCTCCTTATTATCCTGCAATGACTTAAATGCTTAGTAACAAATATTTATCATATTAAGGAACACTTGGTAGACATAAACAATATAGCTTCTACTCACATGAGCTTCTGGATGAGCTTCTTTGTCATTGTTGGCATGTTTTCTTTCCATAGGTCGCGTCTGTTGTTTTCGAGCTTCTTCAATGCATTTCTTTTTTCTCTCCTTTTCCCTCCTTTCCTCCTCATTCCTCTGCCTCTTCCTTGTTGCCACATCAGCACCTCTTTTCTTCTTCTGTTCCTCTTCCTATTTTTTCTTCAGCTGCCTCAAGTGTCTTCACTGACATCTTTTTTCACTACAAGACAGAAACCCCATTTGTAGAGACAAAAAAAAACACATTTGCTACTAATATTGAAATTGAGAAATAGGAAGGTAGAACTCACTTCATCAGGTACATTGGGATTAGCACCGTTTCTCAACAAACACTGGATGCAGCGATCTAAGCCTTTATAAGCAGCTAGCACTACTGGAGGTACAGAACAACCAGTCCCATTCATAATGACCCATCATCTCTTTTTTTACTATACCACTGAATATAAAACTAAGCCTAAACAAAATAAAACTAAAGATGCATTCGATAGAACTCGTCAATGGTAAGAGCCTAAAGCAGTGGCCATAGCATACAAGCTTCTTAGTTCTTACACATACTCAAGTTTTCATAATACAAATGCTGCCCATAATTACTTCTAGCCTTCACAAAGCAGTACAGCTGCAAGAGACAGGAAGAACTTACAAATCTACAAGTGCAAATGAAATGACAGGCAGGCAGTGACCATCTCCAGAAATTTCACATTTGAAAGTATATAATTAACAAAATTTACAGAAGAAATACCATAAGACAGTGACCATCTCCAGAAATTTCACATTTGAAAGTATTACCTAAGTTTCACAGTCCAAGGCAACAAATATATGATTTGCGTGCAAAAACGTCATGTTCTTCTACAAATAGCAATGCAAAAATCACATAGCTCTATTGAACTGAGCTAATACAAAAGAAACTATTGGTCATTCTAGATCCATTAGAGAGCAATATGTCAAAAGCACAAGAACTACATATATTTCACCTGGAGCAAAAGAACTCAAAAAATGGCTCAGATTTACCCATTATCAGCATGACAACTGCAACTTAATTTCACTTGGAGCTTAATTTAATTCTCTCTCTCTCTAATGGGAATTGAACTGGACACAGAATTGGTTGCTTGTAAGCTCATAAGGTGCTAAAGTGCAGAAGTTCTCTAATGGAAACTTGATTCATCACAGCCACTCAAGAGTAGTACAAAACAAAAAAAGTCACAAGGCATAGTTAGGGAAGGGGAGAGCAGCGCGGCACGAGACTAGGGTTCCTTATCATCTCAGCTCTACAAATATCACATATCAAAATGATTGATCAGGTCGATATATGCAAGATATTCAAGATAATGTTTTCATAGCATCTCACCTGAAAAGCAACCAGGGTAACAAAACAAACAAGTTAAAATTGTATTTTAACTTTGCGGTAAAATCTTCTTATTACATTGATCCCTCAAATTCAATTATAATGACATTATTTGAGTGGCCCATCCATGTATATTTCCTACATTATAGTAAATTATGTTAGGATAGTTCTACTTGTGATTTTCAAAGATGTCAAGTTACTGATAAAAGACAATGAAGAGCTCCCATTTGGATCAAACTGACAGGTCATTGCTCATATATGTTCAAGAAATATTTGATGCACTACTAATCGTGAATTATGTTAGTATAGTTCTACTTGTGATTTTCATGAATCAAAATGGCAGTGCAATTTCTTCATACAACAAATCAGAGGTGCTACTACTACTAAACCAGCTGGAACAACCCAACAATGCAACCAAGAGGTCATCTTACTGTTAATAAAACAGGAGCAGTGGAGGAAGCAGCTCTAGTAGTGAATACATACCCATGGTGGTAGTAGCTCCAACAGCTCCGGATCCGGGAGAGGGAGGGACGGCGCCGGGGAAGAAGGCCGGGGAGGGGCGACGCTGGGGAAGAAGAAGGTCGGGGAGGGGTGGCGCCGGGGACCACCACCACCACGCCAGCACCACGAAGCCCGCCGCCACGTAGCCCGCCGCCCGCTGTCCGCCACCACCAGAGCCTAGATCCGGCCGCCACCGACCGGATCCGGGAGAGGGAGGGCCAGATTCGGGAGAGGGAGGGGCGGCGCCAGGGAAGAAGGCTAGGGAGGGGCAGTGCCGGGGACCACCACCACCACGCCACGACCCTGAAGCCCAGCCTGCCATGCATGAGCCGCCCGCCACCACTAGAGCCCAGATTCGGCCGCCACCGGCCTCCATCGGCCGGATCGAGGAGAGGGAGGGGCAGCGCCGTGGAGGGGCGGCACCAGGGAAGAAGGGAAGAAGAAGGGGAGGGGCGGCGGCAGGGAGGGGAGGGCTGGGGCCAGTGCCGGGAAGAAGAAGGAAGAAGGCGCTGGGGTCCGGGTCTGGAGGAAGAAGATGGGAGGAGGGGGTGCTCGGATTTGGGTCTGAGGGAAGGCGGTGCGGAGGAGGAAGAAGGAGGAGGAGGGGGCGCCTGGGGCCGGGTGCGAGGAAGAAGGGAGGGGGCGCCTGGGTCCCAAAAGTGAGGAAGAAGAATGGAGGGGAGGGGGCTGGGGTTCAGGTGCGGAGGAAGAAGAAGGGAGGGGGAGGGGGCGCTGGGGTAAGAAGAAGGGAGGGGTTGGTCGTTTGAATTTTTCCGTGCGTTTTAAAATAACCGATAGAATAATAACATTTTATCTGTGTGTGCATATATTTTTTTCTGTGTGTTTTTAAAGAACCGACAGAATAAGTTGCATTTTTCTGTGAGTGCTGATTTTTTCCGTGTGTGTATTGTCACGCATAGAAAAATCATGCAATTATTCTGTGGGTTTTTGTATTTTTCTGTCGGGATATTTTGAAACCGACAAAAAAATCGTAATTTTTCTGTGCGTACCGAAAAAAACGCACAGAAAAATTTATCACCTATAGAACAATTCGAGTTTTCAGTAGTGTAGCAGCAGCTGTGCAGGCGCACAGTCGACGGTCGGTGTGGCTAGGCGGGGGTCGTTGCTTGCCGAGCCCAGGTGTAGCTGGCCGCTACCAGGCCGCGCCACCATCCTGGACCGGCAGCTGGCCAGAACCGGCCGTTCTCCCGCTTTGCTCTACGTCGTACGGAAGAAGGGTGAAAAACACATATTACAATCGTATGTTTCAAGTGTTTTAGAGGTATGTTGTAAGTGTTTTATATGGATATTGCAAAAGCAGATCAGGACGTTGCAAATATTGCAATGGCTATACACGTATGTTGCAAGCATCTGTTCCAGTTATTTCATCAAAATTTTCCGATATATGTTACAAGTGTGTTTATTTGGATGTTGCATAGGTTTTACACATATGTTGCAAGTGTTTTATCTTGATGTTACATATGTTTTTCAATTGCTTTTCAAATGTTTTCAGGTGTTTTTGCAAGTGTTTCATATGTATGTTTCAAATGTTTCACCTGTCTTTAGTCGCATGTTGCAAATGTTTCATCTGGATGTTTTAAAAGTTGATCGGGTGTTGCACATGTTGCAATGGCGCTAGATAGCTGCATGCCATAGGGCTATGGCTCCTATTTTGTGCGGCACGCCTTGCCCTCTCCTCTCCCTCCCCTCCCTTCCGTTCTCTCCATATTGTCGCGACAGTTCGAGCTTGATCTGGATGTGGAGTTCAGCGGCGCTGGAGTGGGATGGGATGCGAGGCATGGGCGTGGTGTGATGCGGGTGGCAGTGCTGCATTCGGGACACGGGGCGCTGGCGCGGGATGGACACAGTCAAGGCGTGAGAGCAGGAGGTGTGTGCAGGCGCGCTGTCCATCGGACGTTCGAGCACTAGACGCGTAGAATCCACAAATTACTTTGTAGAGGATGGCCAAATAATACGAAATGAGTTTGTGAGATCTAGCTATTGTTAGTTGATCTCCACCAATAGGCCCAATGGCCTATTGGACCCTTGGATCTGCGCCCTAATCGGAGGCGCCCAACCCTAATGTGGTTGGTGGGCCCCTATCGCACGACACTATAAAGAGAGGTGTGGGGACCAGGGCTTGGATGACGAGGTTGAATAGAGCCGCCGGTGATCCACCTACAGAGAAAACCTAACTCGATCTAAAGAAGAGTGCTGCCAGCGACGGGAAGCCCCACCACTCCACCATCGCCACTGCATCGCCACCACGACACCTACAATGCCACGATACTAGCGTCGATGGACATAATAGATCAAGGTACATCAACTGTTTCCCCATCTAAGTAAGAAGCCTACCCCTGATCTACGTCTAAGAGGTACACTGTGACCTAACAATGGTACCAGAGTAAGGTTTGCCTAATGGGTAGATCTAGTATGGGGTAAAGCATTGAAAGAAATCAAAGAAATCACAAGGGTTCGATCCGTTTTGGATCGAAACCCTAACCCTAATCGGGTAAAAGTAAATTGAAAAGAGACGGGGGGAGGGTGGCGGACATCACTGAACTCCCGGTCACCACCGCCACCGAGCGGGGAAAGATGCCACACCACCGTCTTCGCCGACGCGTGGCAAGAAAAGAACATCGGTGTTCAGATCTGAGAAGAGAATAGAAAGGGGTCTCGGCACTCCGAGTCAAACCCTAACCCTAACCCTAAACCCAAATCGATCAACTCTGAAAGAAAAGAAAGACGATCCAAAGAGAAGAAAGGGAAGAGGGGAAGGGGCTTATCTCGAAGATCTTGAACAAAACCGAGAGAAAAACCGAATCAGGTTCAACCGAACCCTAACCCTAACTCGCGACGAGGAAGGGGAAGAGAGCGATTCGGTACAAATAGAAAAGAAAAGAAATCAAATGAAAAGTTGAACCGAATCGATCAAAACAAATCAGGTTAATCCTAACCCTAACGATTCCCTTACCCTAACCCTAACTGGGTGAAAGAAAGAAGAAAAGAGAGGGATTCAGCCTAGAAGAGAAACAAAGTCGAACCCTAAACCCGTGAAGTCCCTCTAGGGAAGAAGAACAGTGCCCATCCCGTAACCCTAACCCTAATTTTTGACCCCATCCCCAAATTGGGTTAATCCCAGAAGAAAGAAGGGAAAGGGAGGAAGAGGAAGAGTCAT